ATCACCACCATCATCATCACATCACCACCATCATCACATCACCATCATCATCACTGCATCACCACCATCATCATCACATCACCACCATCATCATCGCATCACCACCATCATCGTGACATCACCACCATCATCATCACACCACCACCGTCATCATCGCATCACCATCATCATCACTGCATCACCACCATCATCGTGACATCACCACCATCATCATCACCAACATCATCATCATCATCACCAACATCATCATCACATCACCACCATCATCATCGCATCACCACCATCATCGTGACATCACCACCATCATCATCATATCACCATCATCATCACTGCATCACCACCATCATCATATCACCATCATCATCATCACCAACATCATCATCATCATCACCAACATCATCATCACATCACCACCATCATCGTGACATCACCACCATCATCATCACACCACCACCGTCATCATCGCATCACCACCGTCATCATCACATCACCATCATCGCATCACCACCACCATCATCGCATCACCACCACCATCATCGCATCACCACCATCATCGTCGCATCACCATCATCACATCATCGTCAAAGCATCATCACCATTATCACATCACATCACCATTATCACATTATCACATCACCACCGTCATCATCACATCACCATCATCATCATCACATCACCACCGTCATCACCACATCACCGCCCTCATCACCACATCACCATCATCACATCGTCACATCACATCACCATCACCATCATCACATCATCACCACCATCACCACAGCAGCACCATCATCTTGGCACCCTTAGCCCCACCACCACCACTTCATACCATCCTGGGGTGACTCCGCAGGCCTCGTCACGGCCATCATCTTTGTAGTGGGAGTCTGATCATGGCAAACCTGGTGCAAAAAATTTATCGACTTTCCTGTCAAAAGAACCTAAAAAAGAAAACACGTTATGATTACCTTTATGTAAAACTAAAATGATCGTCCACATGCTATAAATATTCATAAGCTACAAACTGGCCATTGATTAGAAACTAAATGCATCTATTACAGTATTCAGTGAATTATAAAAACTCTGAAGATATTAACAAATATATTATGTTGATATATTTGAGTAACACATGCTTCATCTTGAGAACATTAACAGTCCTAAAATACAACAAAGTTCTAAATGAAAATCAGCTTTGTCACATAATACAAGCACACACAACAACAGAGCATCAAAATCAGGAAAGCGTCTCCCACCAACCTTCCTAGACTGATCCATGGTGATGAAGGAGGGAATCATGGACTTCCTCAGAGTATACTTGTCATGCCACAGTCGATCTGTCTTAACGGTGGGGTCCGATGCTACAAAAAACTGAAAGCAGAGAAGCACTGACGTGTTAAAAAGTGATATCTATGGCCAAAAATTAGCTAATAGCAACATTGAAGAGTAAGTTATTCCAGAAAATCAAGTTCTCCAGATACACAGAGTACTGTCCAATTATTTATATAATAAAAACTGTTTTATAAGACATTTTGGAAAGAAATCTCTAACTCAAAGAATATAGTGTATTTCCCAGATTTTAAAAGCAAAGTTTAATAAAAACACGTCATCTTAGAAACTTAGCATGGCCATCACAGCCTCTGCAGGGGGTGGGGTCTCTAACTCCTTGGTGCACATGGAGCCCTTCCTGCCAGTGACAATGCAGACCGCACAGCTGTCCCAGCTCCCATTCCCCCCCCCCAACCTTCCTCCCTTGCACGTGGCTGTGTCTCCTTCTGCCAATCTGCCTGCTCTTCCTGCTCCTGTTCTGCAGAGCCCCCAGGTGGGACACAGACGTGCTACTCTGCTGTACTGTTCTCAGAGAATCCCTCAGCAGACTGTTGTTCTAGCAGTTTGCCATCCGCGCACTCGACCACATACTGGTACTGTGTGCAGTGACCCCGTGAGGCTCCCCTGGGAACACCTGTGCCCCCAGAATCTTCTTCCTCAGCCACTTGCTGCTCACCTTCCCCTTTAGCAGTCCAGAGAGCCATGGAGTGGCAAGAAACCCAACAGCTGTTGTCTCCAGAATGAACCCATTCTCATTTTTCAGTCATGCCCTAACAGACCTGTACTTTCGTTTCTAGTGGCACCCCGTCCACCGCCTTCCAGTGGTGCCCGGCAGTCTTTGTGTCATTATCACTCGGGCACAGTGAGTGTTCCCACAGGCAGACCTATCATCCTCACTGGCCTTCGTACCTCCAGGTTTGGGGAGATGGGAGCCTCTTTGAGCTGCCTGAGTCCTGCAGACTCTTCAGAGACCTACTAGAGTTGGCTGCTCATCCAGGGGCCCCACTTCCTCTCATGGGGAAACGGCACCAAGGCCATGACCTCAGAGTTCAGCAGCACATCAGATCAGAAGCAGGGTGGTGCGTAGAGCCAAGCTCCCTAGTCCGAATGCAAAATCCACCTGTCACATCAGCCACACATTCCTCTTCAGTGACCTCTCCATAAATCCCAAATCATTAATAAGTAAACAACATACAACCCTGCCTGAAAAGATACTTCCACAGACACAAAAGTTTTAAATTATTTTTAACAAGTACAACAGAACCTCTACCATTGGCCCCTGCCTGCACTGACCACCTCTTCGAACACTCTAAGTGTCAGAGACTGGACACCTACCACGTTCCCGTCACTGCACCAGGCCTACTCCTTCTGGTGACCACCTCCTTGTGGTGACCAGTTTGTTACAGTCGCTTGGGTGGTCAACTTACAGAGGTTCTACCATGTATAGCAAAGACAACTAATGATTTCTTAGCAAAATGTAAATAACCAAAACTAACTCAGGAAGGGAGAGAAGACCCTAAATGAACAGGCTCTTCAGAAGAAGTGGGTACATGAAATGTGGCTGCTGAAGCCAAGGGTCTGTTTAACTTTTTAAAAGAAAGACATCATTCTTAATGTTGTTTAAACTGTTCTAGAGCACAGAAAAACATTCAGAATGCCTCAATTAAGAAACAAGTACAAAACTAGCACCTCTGATTTTTATAAACACCAAAAATATTATGCAACAGTCTCATTTGTGAATACAAAGGAATAAACGCTGGACAAAATAGTATCCTTGGATTAATGGATTAAAATACTCTCGGTCAGGATATATTACACTTCACAAGCTAACAAATACCTTAAGAACAAAGGAATATATAAATGCATTATAAAATACAGTACAAGCTCTATGAGTTGACCACCCAAGGGCCTGTCGCTGACCTACGGCCCTGATATGTACATGTGGGGCATGTCTAGTGTAAGGAAATCAGGTCGACCTAAGAAGGTGATCAGGGCAGAGAGCTGGTCAACTATGGCGGCTCTAGTATGCCATGTAGTTACTAAATATAAAGTCTGTTCTTAACTATCACAGACTCTGCTCAGAATCCAATGGAAAGTATACTTCTTCCCTGGAAAAAATAGTGTCCAGTTAATCCCAGAACCACCTGGGTTTGAACTGTGCAGGTGTAACTACCTGAGAATTTTTTAAAGCAAATGTGCAGATTGAAAATAAGGTATTCACAAGCTGTGAAACTCAAGTACACAGAAGACCAACTTTCTACACACACCCTGGGCCCGCTGGGCAAGCGTGGGACGTTAGGTGTGTGTGCACATGGTACCCGCGGGAGCTCCGGCCCCATCACCTTCAGAGGTGACTACACTCACACACTGTTTACATGCTATGGAGGAGTTTCAGGGATCATTTTAGGAAGCCGTGGTGTATAAAAAATTGAATGGCATAAAATAACATTCATTATTTAAGGAAAAAAATAACAAAAGTTACAAAATACAATCATGACATGATAGGCACACACAAATACACAGTCAAAAGAATGGGTACACACACACGGTATAACAGAAGCCAATGTTCATGATGGAATTACTGATAAATTTTAATTTTTACCTATGTTTATTATGTGATCAAAATGTTTAAAACTGTAAATGTTTTTAAATCAGAAAAAAAAATATATTGTTAAATGATTTTTTTCTTTTTTTACTTCACAGATATCTACTTCCAAGGATAAACATTTAAGGAAACAAATTTTAATGATGTCAAAGCCATCCTGGCTTTGATCCTGTTAGGTAATGGCTAGATGGTATCAATTAGGTGTACTCGCCTGTCTAAGTGGGCATTAGGAATAAATGCCAACATCTTCATGACCACAGCAGACATCACCACATTTATTTTCAACTAAAATGTCTTATCCTCAGGTATTGATTTAAATGACTAAAGCAGTCACTGATCTATTTTAGACCTTTTAAATTTATATAACCTTTCTAATTTAAAATACATAACAAATAACTACTTTGAAGATAAACAGCACCGCTGTAATGAAGCAATCATCACTTTAACCTACACTTAAATCATCCCTGACAGAAAGAGGAAAGCTATGAGAGCCGGGGGGG